GATTCTGGTGCCTTGATATTAATAAAGGAGATAATTTTATAATCTTATACAGAATATCCTGATTTTGGGAGTGGTTTGATTGTTAGGAGAGGTGCAACTGTTGAACATGTGGTGAGTTAAAGAAATTTTAAATATCAAATTTATCCTTATACTTTTAACATATAATAATAAAATTATTTATTTTTATTTAGTGTCATGTAATTCATCGTTCTTTAGTTGATGAATTCAAATATGCTTTGGTTTGGGTAATGAATGATTATAAAAATTTCAAAAAAAAAAATTTTTTTCTTGATATATATTCATTTATTAATTTATTTTATAGGGAATTTCTACTAAACATAATCCACAAAAAGTGGGTTCAACACATATTGTAGAAAATGAAGATGTTATTCAAGGTATTATTAACTATTATCATCATTATCATATCTATATAAAATATTGACACTTTTTTAATTCTTTGAAAAAAAAATTTAGTTGTTAAAAAAAAATAGATTTAATCAGTCAGTGTCTTATATAATTCATTAGGATCAATTAAAAATGATTATTTATTGTCTCATGTAATTCCTATTAATAGCTGATACATCACAAATTATATAATTAATTTTAAATGCTCATTTATTAATCAGTTTGGTTATCATAATATTTCAATCATTAATTAGAACATTGGTTTTTTTTTAAAATGTTCTATGGGACTTCTCCAGCAAATATCCTATCTGAAAATTCATCAATCATTTTGCATATTTAACCAATCATTTACTGGATGAAGGATTAAATAGGATTCACAATAATAATACATTTTATAATGAATCTCTTTTAATATTAATGAATTTTTATTTATCAGGCCAAATATTACCATCCATTCAAATAGTAATAGTACTAACCGCGTTACAACGAATTTAAAAAAGACTACGATAATATTAATATTAATGAACAATAATAAAATTGTTTAATTAAAATAAAAAAAATAACACCAAGAAATCTGTATAAATAAAGATGAAATTTTCTTTTATCAAATAAAAATTTTACGATTAAAACCTTTGAAAATGTCTCAACAACATCATCATCCATTAAAAACTGTATTGATCATTACAACGAATTTTGGTGATCAGTACCATTAAAACGATGCTTGAATGTATTAGTATTTTATACGGATGTCCGCATTTTTAAAATAAATGTGCTTATAACCAATTCACCTTGACAAATCTATGCCCTATAAAAGGCTATGTACATAATGGGTACTAATACCGAATAGATGCGGTCTGAATACGGAAAAGGCGTGTTTTGATATGGAATGCACCAGGCAAACACATTTTGATATGGAATAGATACTAATGTGGGAAAATGCGCTTTCACATACTAATACCAATACTAATACCTAAAAATATGGAAACCATGTGGAATTAGTTCTGGTAATTACAATAATAATAATAGTAAATGTAAATATTCACAATATAATAAAAATTTGAATGAACAACAACAGGAAAAAAAAAACAAAAAGAAATAATTAATCTTTGATAGTGATAATGATGATCTAGATGATTCTTTTCCTAGTTTTTTTAGCGGAGCAAATAATTTTTTTAGGGTTAATTATCATTCTACCGACCAGTTTACATATTAAAAATACTCGTGCTTAACATTGAGACACAATAAAGCATAAGGTTTGAAAAAAGGCACAAAAAACCAAATCGGCCGATATGTTCTTGTTTTATTAAATAATACAAAATCAACTCTTTTAAGTTCGACCTTGCATTCTATTTAGACTTGGTAGATACAAGTCTTGGAGTAACTACAACATCAAGAGCAGTAGATCGTAAAAAGAAGCAAGTTGCAGATGAACATGAGAATGCACTTACAAAATATTCAAAAAATACATTCTTGTTGAATGTTGACGATTCACGTCCAGAGACAATATGATACTACCAGTATATCAAGCACAGAACCAGCATCCATCCTTTAATTACTAAAACTTTGTTACTTTTAGGAAACCATCTACAAACATTTTTTGCAATTACGTATATTGTGATTACACTAACTATATTAATTTGAATAATTGTAGTGCACCCATGTTATCACAATCATTGTCTACAAAGGTGTCAATCTAAATGTTTGATATCTTGGACTATCTTCAAGTCGAAATCAAAAAAAATGTCAACACTAAGGATACCGGCTGCAACTTTTGATGATGGTTGCTATCATCTTTGCGTCCTATAAAAATGATTGCAACCACCTTTACAACCATTTTGTTTCCTTTTTGGATTGTGACATGGAACACTAGTCAACACACTAAAAGAAAGTATGATGAAAAATATTAAATGAAAATTAATATACCGAAAATAACGAAAATACAGTTGATGATGGATCCGGGTAATGTTGAATCAGCAACAGATGAAAAAATTTTTGGATTGTAAATTTTGTTTTTATTAAATAAATTTGTTTGATTTTTCATACATTGTTTATTTTTCATCACAATCATATATCTTAAATTTGTTGTGTTTACAATCATTCATTGGCATTCATTATATTAGGGTTATTTTGATTAGGAAGAGAGTTATTCTTCGACCAAGTCAAAAACCAACCCTTTAAATACATTTTAGAGTAGTACAATTTAATTTATTAGACTATTTCAATGGTTTGTCGCATGGCTGCTTTCAACTTCTTAAATTCGTTAATGAAACAATTGTTGGTGAAGTGATGGTTGACAAAATGAATCAAACCCATATTTATTCTACGTTATCAAATTCGCGATTTTAATTGATCAATCAACAAATTGCATGGGTCATATCCACCGATTTCTGCAATGTTACACGATTTCAGGCTGATTTTGGGGCACATTTTTGTTTTGTTTTAATTGTTAAGGTACATTTTTGATATGTTACACCATTCTTTATCTAAAAAAAGTAATTTTTATATACTTTTGTTATTATTATG